GCGGTGCTAGTCGGTAACAACGTCACCATGTTCTGTGCGTTCAACGGCCTTGCAGACGATGATGTCGTCAACTGGCACAAGTACAACCCGTCCGCGTCGAACGATAAACTGTCCCACGTGTCCTCCGGTACTGTTGTGGGCCCGGAGTTCCGTCGAAGGTTCTCTATCGTCGGCGACAACCGGAGCGGAGAGTTCAACTTGCGCCTGACCAACGCTCAGCCACGCGACGCGGGGAGCTACAGATGTGGCGTGTTTTCTGTCAGAGATGCCAGGGATGCAAAACTCACCGTCATCGGTAGGCTGTCCAGTTTTGGTAGTCTCCACTAGACTAACAACGCGGGTTTAAAATCAAGTAAAATCTACCCAATAGGGAGAAAAGCCAGCATATAGTTCATGTACCTCTTCAGAGGGAGAAATTAACCCTCTCGCGGACTGAATCTTCTGGTATTTATCTTTTTTACCGAATTCTAGGTTCCGTACGTACCCATGTAGGAAGGCCTGGTGGAGGCTACAGTTTTGATACAAGTGTCCAGATGGTGTTCTAAACCAAACTGAACATACGGTCCATACTGTTAGAATTGGGAACACGAATGCCCCCGAATTGATTCCCTTAAGATTTATTGCTATATGGCATCCAGATCAAGCGAGATTATCGATTATTTTGCATGCCTTAAATCCAATGTCAAGGTCTTTTCCTAATGATGTCAATAAAAATAGTAGCACCTCTAGTTCACTTTCTCCATCAAACTCGAAATACCCTCTTGTAGGTAGTCAAATTGATGAGCTAATAGTAAAGATGCTTCCCAAGAACGTACTTTGCAATACTTTTATCGATAAATAAAAGAGGCATACATTACGGGGGAATATGGGGCAAATATCCGACGGTAACCCCGCAATTTCATACACTTCACCGCACACTGCATCCAGTTACCAGCAAGCTGTTGCCAAATGCCCATATGTGAAAAACGCATATTACCATCGCTTGGGGACATAACAATGCACTTTTTGTCTTATAAGCTTTTCCCAATCGCTTTTATTGCCTCTGCAAAGAACTTAAAACTTGCACCGTTGATTCAGCAAATGCTTCTCTTGAGCAAAACAGTTATGTTATTGATTTTACCGTTGGCGCCAATTGTTCAGCGTTGATAGATCTCCAGAAAACTACCCACCAAGACGTCGAACAATACCCGTGAGGCTTTGTAATCTTTTTATTACTGTTGGATTTATCTGCTAGTTGGCTAATGTGCGCAAAATCGATACAAATTGCACGGTGTTGTAATATGGCTGGAAAGGGAGCATTGCCAATGGACGGGAGCTTTCCGGACGGCGACTTTGCGGTCCCCGTGCGATTAATTACGTTCTGACCCGTAGTCTGTTATCTTTTGTGCTGGGAGCAATCGCAGAAAAAAAGCACACACTATGCCAGGTTCAATCGAAATCTAATTGGGGTTATCAACCGACTATATGTATATAAAAACGTCAGCAGCTGGGGAAGCAATCAATGTTCTACTGGAAAAGTTATAAATATGCTACAGGGATTACTGGAATCAACGTTGGTTTTTGTCAAATTGCTTTTACGGATTCAAACAGACGTTGTAAGTTTCCTAAAATATCTTCAAAAGAAAACGCATCCTTTGATCTTCGCTTTCTATTTTATAACCTGAAAGTAACGTGGAATTTTGCATGAAAAAAAAAAAACATGATGTACATGTACTCTAGAAATACACATTTTGGAACCAATTTAAAGTGCAGCGTAGATCTTTCTATGCATTGATTTTTGTTAATCTGGAGACAATTGCTGTAGCGAAGAATGGCGTTTCCCCCATAAATTAATGAAGGCTTATCTTTTCAGTTCCTCTACCAAGGCCACCTATTGTACTAGGCGACCTGAATCCGCGGACGGCTGGGAAGAGCCTGATACTCACGTGTCGGTCGGTAGGGGGCAGTCCTCTGCCGCAGCTGGCCTGGTACAACGGTACACAGAGGATGGACATTCCCGATTCCGCACGGACAGAGGAGCCGTCAGAAAACAGAGTGTCTCTTGACCTGGTCATCTCTTTTCTGACCAAGTGGGACAATGGAGCTAACTTCACCTGTATCGCTGACCAGGAGTTCCCTAGCGTGGTCCAACCTAAGGTTACGTCAGTAACAATTCGCGTCCAGTGTAAGTGCATGGGCGTACAGTATTGACAGGTTTCTTGTCATTGTACCTCACTATCTTTGGTAAAATCCTTTTTCTTCGCCTTCAAATCTTATTGGTTCTTGTTAGGTTGTTTTTTGTTGAAGACTATTATTGGTCGGAAATAATGAAGCGATCTTTTTACTTAAAGTTACATTTTGCGTTGTTACCTGATATATTTTGTTGCATTTTTAATTCAATAGTAACTGTTCAATAACTTGTTTCTATGTATCTGTTGGTATGCAATAACGAACAAAAATAATACGTAAGAATTTTTCTATAGCCTGTATAATGAAAAAGTAACTTTATGACATACCGCATGTTAGATTTCACTCAGTAAGATGAAAACTGAAATTGTTGGTAACAATATTTTAGGAAACGTCTCCAAGTTTGGTGGCCCTACCGCAAGCCGTTCGGACGTTATCCGACATCAAAGTTTAGATAGAGTTAAGTTTAAGTACAACGTAACACAGAACACGCCGACACCAAAGCAGACAAACGCATGAACGGACAACACATACTAATTTTCACCTGAGTAAAGTGAGGAAATTCGTGCCTTTTCCAAGGGCACAGGTTCGGTGGCATGGTAGGATTCAAACTAGGGACCTCTAGATTCCAAGATGAACGCCCTGTCGTTACGCCACACGACCCCACAGCAATTTCTATGATAATCTCTCTCTTCCAGACCCTCCAGTCGTAAAGATGCCTAAGATGTCTGTGGTAGTGACAGAAGGACAGTCCGCTAACCTCAGCTGTGAAGTGGACAGCAGTCCAGAAGCGTCCTTAACATGGTGGAGACTTAAGAAAAACTTGAGGGAAGGACCACTTGGAAGGTGCGTGATTCCTAAGTTCTTGCAAAAAGTTAAGCTTTGACTACATGCTAGCTAAACGAAAAGGTTTAGTTAGCATGTAGTCAAATGAAATGATAAGGCTTTAGCCAACTTTGAATTACGTACTATGCAAAAAGGAAGTAATAACACAAATCCGCTCAGTTTTGCAATGATACAGTCTATTTTCTCTAGAGATACTGCAACAGCGAACTCTTGCGACATTTTCAAATACTGTATCAAATTGAACAAACGTCGCCATGACATCAACTAAAAAATGATAATCATTATGAAACACATTTGAACTATCCGTGACAGAGACTGCAGTTGCACAGTTGAAAATTTGGGTAAGTCCAATTTCTTGTGTTGACAATTGAAGTTCAAACCTGTTTCATAATGACTTCTACCAACACAGATGAACTTTCAAGAGAAAATGATAATCGTTATGATCACCACAATTAAGAAGTATATCATTGGGTATCGCTTCTTACTTCCACAGTGGCACATTGCTCACATTGACCAACGTTACCCGTAATGACAGAGGAACGTACCAGTGCAGGGCGATTAACGGGGTCAAACCAGGCGGGCTGGGGACCATGGCGCTGGACGTCAAATGTAAGAAGGGCGAAGACTATTTCTAGTGTTTACTTAAAGGCATCCAGTGCAATATTAGGGCGGCAAAACTAGAAATACTGAGTTCGGTGACCTCATACCCCCATGACATGTTTAGTGCTTTTGTATGATCTTTAATGCATGGTGATGACCACCTGTAAATGGCTTACATTTATAATCCTGCTCATTAGCAAAACTCTAGAAATCATTTACATATATTATATCAATTGATCATATTCTCCAACCAATAACAGGATTATCTAAGAAATAAAGCTATTCTAAATCATGCACATTTCTCTCAGTCTTGCACCATAATTGCCTGGTGTTGAAATTTAAAGAAATGTTGTTGAAATGTATAGAAAGAAAGAAAGCATTGCTTCAATATGTGTTCTATGCTTACAAAAGTACGTCCATCTCTTGTCCAGATCCCCCGTACATTAGGCCCAGCTTTCCTAAAGAGCAAAGCGTCATCTACGGACAGGGAGTTTTCTCCATGGACTGTCAGGCTGAGGGGAACCCAAAACCACAGGTCAAGTGGAGACGGAAAGACGTCAACATGTTCTTCAACAATCCCATGACTCTGTCGGACGTGGGGTACTTGGAGGAAGGGTTTTATGAGTGTATCGCCAGGAGCGAAGGGTTCAGGGAAGTCAGGAGAGGGACCTTCATCAATGTCATAGGTACTGTCAACCTTTTACATTCTAACGTCGACCGTAGATAGAACCTTCAGCAATGTCATAAGTACTGACAACATTTCAAATTTTAACATCACCAGTAAAAAACCTTCATCAATGTCATAGGTACTTCTTTCAAGAAGCTGTATAATAATAGCTGCTAATAATAGTAGTCAATAATTTCAGTAAGTTATTATATAGTGGCTTTCATTTGTTGTATCTGCAAAGTTACAGGTTACATGCCGAGATTATATAATTAGATTCTTAGCTTTCATTATAAAAAATGGACGTATTAGATATAAATTTACAATTCTTATGGCATTACTGATATTATAATCACTTTTCGTGAATGTGACCGTCTGTTTCCATCCAAGGTAGACCGGAAGTCCTGAGCGACTCGTCCGCCGTGTCGGTCCCGGGCGGCGACACCGTGCGGCTGAGCTGCCGGATCCTGGCCGACCCCCCGCCCGACAAGATCACCTGGCTCCGGACGGCGCCGGACAGTCGTCAGGAGCAGCGGTACGAGGGCGGCAGGAACGGGGACGTCGAAGTCAAGACGATCGTCGAGAACGAGATAAGGAGCGAACTGACCATAAAATCAGCTAAGAACGCTCACGTGGGAGACTACACTTGTAAGGCCATCAACAAGTTCGGCTCGGACCAGAAAGAGTTCAGGGTTTCTGTTACAGGTGTGCCATTTTTAACTCTTAAATTACCCTTAACCTTAATTTCTTTCAACTATAATAATCATAAACTGTGTTATCAATTAGGCGTTGCCGATAAACTTAACTAGGCAAAAAACGAATTCCTTGCGTTTGGCAATGAAAGAGGCCAACATCATTACAGGTCGTAGAAAGCTGTTGGACAAATATGACAGAGATTCGAATATTTAAAAATTTCTCTAGTTGCTCGTGTATCTCATTAACTGGATGCGTAACCTTCGTCGACGTTAATATGTTCGAAGGTTAGCAGAAAATTTTGTGTCCTATTGCAAGGTTTATGCACGCTTCACTTGGCCCACCCCAACAGCTAGAGAAACTTCTGTGCCTTTATCGTTACTCGATCTGCAGGTTCTGCCGTTGCCGTGGTGGGGGTGATCGCGGGGTCGGCAGCCGTGGGGATGTTACTCGCTATTGCCGCTATCGTCGCGCTCAGCATCCGGAAAGGCTGGATCGGGAGAGATAAGAAGAAAAGTATGACGCTGCAGTCTTCTCCTCATATTTTGGGACCCAAAATAATAGAGATTGTGATCGCATAATCCTTCGGTAGACCTTGTTTTATAGTTAATCTATGGGCGGTTTAGAGGCGGTGGAAAATTCGTAAATGGGAGGATTTGGAAACGCTCAAACGTTTTTACTTTGTAGAGCAGTCGAATCCTGATGGATCGTCAGGCCTTTGTCGGTGTTGAAATGGGAACCTGGAATTTCCCATTTGCAATGAGCGGTACATAGTTCCATCTTTTGTAAAGCTCCTGTCACACCTAGAAGAATATGTCCTCCCGAACACTAATCAAACTCCTTCCCCTACCAACAATGGCAGGTCAGAAGCAATGTTTCCGTTAATTCTTTTTCAATTATCATATTAATTCTATAATTATCATTTGTTAATCAATACTCCTCCTGCACATTGGTTTTCTTGTATTCATTTTTTCATACAATTTCATCATATATATTTATCTTACCTGTTTTTAACACGTGCGAATAAATAACAAACAACAAGCTGCACCAGCCGAATGTTTCAAAATATTTAAACATTCAGGTGTGAACGGAAGGTTGGACCATGGTTGGCTGGTGTTCGGGAGTAGGTCTGGGCTCACAAATTTGACTCAAATTTAACTCATATTCGACTTATATAAAAAGGTATCCGTGGCCAAAATAACTGGTCAGTCTGCTTCCGAAATTTAGCCAATCATGGTCGGCCTGTGTTCGGTAGAAAGTTTCCGAATATACAGGTTGAATGACATTGTTTGGCCTGTCGTAAGAAAACCATATATTTCCGCATATTACCATTTTCTTATCAATGGTGTTATGACCGCAACTAGAACTTACTGAAGTATACGCAGGATTGGTAACAACTTGAATAAACCTGTATATAATATTTGTCGTTATTTTACACAGAGAAATCCTCTAAACCATCCGAGTCGCTGGCCTACTGCATCAGTGGCAGGTCTACCATGGACTACCCAGTCATGTAAGTTATCACAGATAAGGGCGCACGGCACAAAATCCCTAGTTTCCGTGTGAGAAATTGCCGCACACTTTCCCGGATATTTTAGGTTTCCGGTAGAACCCGGGGGTTTCCGACCTGCACACGAAACGTGTCCAGTCCCGTACATGTCCTGTACACTCCCGGAAATGAACCACTTTTTGTGTGCAGGTCGTGTCCTGGGCGTTATATGCCCGGACACGATCCCTGTACATCCCCGTACACGGCAGGAAATGGCCGTGCACCGCTCCGTGCGTTGCTGGAATATGCATAATTTAGCGGCAATTATCACCTAATTATTCTCCACACGGCAGCCGTGTACGGGTC